ATATATATATATATATATATATATATATATATATATATATATATATGAAGGGAGATGTTAATGCTTAGGCATTTTACAACCATTAGGCCATGAATCAGTGCTGTTCATGTTGGTATTTTCACACTAAGAATAATGTTGCATGCGTATATATCTTATATGTATTGGTATAAAGGTTTGGCAACTTTATATCAACATCTTAAAGTTTCCTTTTGTTTGCAGAACACTAATTTGGTTATGTAGTCTGAGAGGAGGAATTTGACTGGAACTGTTCTTCCTTAGAGTGAGAGAAGAATTTGAAGATTCCAGGGCACAAAAGGAAGAAAGGGTTGAAGCACAAACATGAACATGAAGAGCGAGCCACAGAATATGGAACTAGGTGTTCTATGGGGTAAAGCATTGAGTGAAGTGTGGATGTCCTTGTTGAAACCAGCTATGTGTTTATAAACATGTAGAAACAGAAACCCAGGAAGCAGGTGTGCCCTAAGAACTTACAGTACCCTGCCCAAGAAACACAGAATTCTTGGGGAGATTTGGAATTCCCATAGGGTACAAAATTGTGGCTTTGCGCCTATCATGTCTAAAGCTTGAAGCTAAGATTTCAGCATGAATTTTGTCCTTCAGATCAACTGGCCAGTCATCAAGAATGGTTCTAGCAAAAAAGCAAGTACTGGCACTGTTGAGGGAGAAGGCAAGATATAAAATAAGGAATGCTGCACAAAGTAAAAGGCCAGGGTAATAAGCTGAGGAGACAGGAGATAGGATGTGGTTAACTGAAGTAGGCATGAGAGATGCAGAAAAGTTACAGAAAAAAATGCCCCCAAATGCCAAAAAGGCAATAAAAGTATAAGGGTTAAGTGGAATTTGCGTTCCCAAGACAGAGAGATCTTGGATATTCATATTGGTTCAGGCCAGTTATGTGACCACAGAGAAGTTATTTAATTTAAAAGGAAGTTTAACTTCTGGGCCAAGTGCCTGGCTCGTGCCTGTAATCCTAGCACTTAGGGAGGCCAAGGTAGGTGAACTGCCTGAGCTTAGGAGTTCTAGATCAACCTGGGGAAGATGGAGAAACCCCGTCTCTACTAAAAACAGCAAAAATTCGCCAGGCATTGTGGTGAGCACCTGTAGTCGCAGCTACTTGGGAGGCTGAGACACGAGAATCACTTGAACCTGGAGGGCAGAGGTTGCACGGAGCTGAGATTGCAACACTGCACACCAGACTGGGCAACAGAGTGAGACTCCGTCTCAAAAAAAAAAAAAGAAAAAGAAAAAAAGAGGAAAAAAAGAAAAGTTTAACTTCTTTAAACTTTAGCTCTCTTCCCTGTAGAGAGATAAGAGCCTTATTTCAATCAAGGTGTTTTCTGTTTGTTTGTTGTTTTTTTGAGACAGAGTTTTGCCCTTGTCACCCAGGCTGGAGTGCAGTGGCACAATGTCGGCTCACTGCAACCCCCGCCTCCTGGATTCAAGTGAATCTCCTGCCTTAGTCTCCTGAGTAGCTGAGATTACCGGCTTCCACCATCACGCCCAGCTAATTTTTTTGTATTTTTAGTAGAGATGGGGTTTTGCCATGTTGGGCAGGCTGGTCACGAACTCCTGATTTCAGGTGATCCGCCAGCCTCGGCGGCCTCCCAAAGTGCTGGGATTACAGGCATGAGCCACTGTGCCCAGCCTCAACTGAGTTGTTTTAAGGATTAAGTAACATCACTATATATTCATTATCATTTGTTTTTAATAATAAACATTATTATTATTACTTGCTTCTGTTGTATCTGGTGACAGCTCCTTCTGCTGGTAAAAATTTCCCAGTCTTGAGACTTGGGAATTTAATTACTATATGACTTAAGGTAATAAAAGTATGTCCCTGCCAAGGGAAAAATGATATAATGCAGTTCTGCTCCCTCATAAATACCAAAACAAAAGCAGGAAAAGTGTGAGTAACAAATATAAAATCGGAAGATTTTCAGACACAAGACTGTTAATTATTCAACAAACATCAATCAGCAGCCCCTGTCAGAGAGAAGGGAATAATACTTCATTTGCCCTCTGACGGTTTGTTGAAGATCACTGAAAAGAGGCAGATAAACAGAAGAAAAGGCATACACATTTATTTGATCATCGTTTTACACAACATGAAAGCCTTCAGAATGAAGGCCCAAAAATATTGGAGAAACTGTCAATTTTTATGCTTAGTTTCAACAAAGTGTGCACAGTTGTGTAGAAGTATGATTGGACAAAAAGGATATAATCTAATGTTAACAGACTGAGATCTAATGTTAATAGACTGAGTGGGGAAACCATGCAAGACCTGTCTCATTTTTTTGTGTGTTTGTGTGCCTCTCTTGAGTATGTATTCTTTCCTTTTGGGTATGGGGAAGGATTCTAAAATGGGGATCTTATGATCTATGATCAAAGTAGGTCAGGTAATTTTTTTTATGACTAGTGTTACACAAAAAAAGGAAAAAGGAAAAGTTAGAATAATATTCTTAGGTTTTATGACAGGCTTTTTAAAAGGGGTTCTGCATTGTGGAATACAGAATGGCAATTCCTCAAAGATGCAGAGGCAGAAATACCATTCAACCAGAAATCCCATGACTGGGTGGGTGCGTGCGTGCGTGCGTGTGTGTGTGCATGCGTGCATGTGTGCGTGTGTGTGTGTATCCAAAGGAATATAAATCCTCCTATTATAAAGATACATACCTGTGTATGTTCACTGCAGCACTATTCACAATATCAAAGACATGAAATCCACCTAAATGCCCATCATGGAATACTATGCAGCCATAAAAAGGAACGAGACCAGCCGGGGTGGTGGCTCATGCCTGTAATCCCAGCACTTTGGGAGGCTGAGGCAGGTGGATCACCTGAGGTTGGGAGTTCAAGACCAGCCTGGCCAACATAGTGAAACTCCATCTCTACTAAAAATACAAAAATTTGCTGGATGTGGTGGCGCACACCTGTAATCCCAGTTACTCAGGAGGCTGAGGCAGGAGAATCGCTTGAACCCAGGAAGTGGAGGTTGCAGTGAGCTGAGATCATGCCCCTGCACTCCAGCCTGGGCAACAGAGCAAGACTCTGTCTCAAAAAAATTAAAAAAAAAGGAACGAGATCATGTCCTTTGCAAGGACATGGATGAAGCTGGAAGCCATTATTCTTAGCAAACTAAAGCAAGAAGAAAAAACCAAAATGCCACGGTGTTCTCACTTATAAATAGGAGCCAAATGATGAGAACACATTGACTCATGGGAGGGAACAACACACTGGAGCCTGCTAGAGGGTGAGGATGAGGGGAGAGAGAGCATTAGGAAGAATGGTTAATAGATGCTGGGCTTAATACCCAGATCATGGGGTGATCTGTGCAGCAAACCACCATGACACGTTTACCTACGTAACAAACCTGTACATCTTGCACATGTACCCCAGAACTTAAAAGTTGGAAATTTTTTAAAAAAGAGAAAAAATTAAAATTACATTAAATAATTCTAGCCTATGGGCAAAAAAGAAAAGATATTTATGTAATTGAAATACATTTGCAAAAAGGCAGTGAATGGACTGCACAATAAAATATATACACCTGAAGTTAGTGAGCAGAAAGAAAAATAAAGGTAATCTCCCAAAACAGAGAAAATTTAAAGAAATAGGAAATACTAAGTTAACTTTAAAGACAAAGAAAACCGCCCAGGTGATCCAACCTATGTTCATAAAATGTGTGAGAAAGATGTTGTAGGGATGCAGAAGAGGGGTCAGGGGAGAAAAAGAGAGAAACAGGAAAGAAGAAGGAAGGAAAGAATATAATAGAAATATAAACCTTGTCAATGTAAAGACAATACAATAAACAAAATTAGTGCAAGGGAAGTGAAACGTGGAAGTATACTTAAACTCTCATTTTTGTGCAGAGTTAATAGATGCTGTGGATCTACAAATCAGTCCGAAAGGAAACTACCAGAAAAAAACTAAAAATAATAATTAACTAACACATTTAGGAAATCAAGAAGGAAATATAGAAGTTGGTTAAATGTCTTTTGTAAATCACTTATAAATCACTGGGTTCATGTATATGGCTTAAAGTTCATAAATCAAAAATTTTAAATTATAATGTCAATTCCAGAAATTATGAAGGGCAATGCAACTACTTCTGGGGAGTAGGACTAACTGAAGAGAAAGTAGTAAGGAAGAGGTCTTTACTTCTAATTTTATACATTTCAGC